CTGATTTTGGATATTCGTTGAAATTCTAGGCCCCTGCAGGCTTTTGCAAGAACGCTCCGTCCTGTTCCGAGCCTGGCTTTTGACCCAGTGCCAGCTGCCCTTAAAGGCCAAAGTCGAGGCCCAAAAAAGAACGATAAATCCACCTTAAAGCCAAAACATGCTTTTGTCGTTCATCGGCAAAACCTATGTTTTGGGTCCGAAAGCCCCATCCCAAAAAGCCGTTCCAGCTGCGTATGCTCCTCATGCCTGATTTGGAGTCCAAAATGTCTTAGAGCCCTACTGAACATGCAAAACCCGATTTTTGGTACTCCCCAAAACCCACTCCCTGCTGGCGTTTTCCAAACGCTTTGGCTGTTTCAGGAACGGTTATCGGCCCAGTGCCAGCTGCCCTTAAAGGCACAATTCGAAGCCAAAAAGGAAGTAAATCCACTTTAAAGCAAAAACATGCTTCTGTCGTTCCTCGGCACAACCTATGTTTTGGGCTCGAAAACCAAATCCCAAAAAGCCATTCTAGCTGCGTATGCTCCTCAAAAACGGATTTTGAGTTCAAAATGTCTGAGAGCCCTATTGAACATGCAAAACTCGATTTTGGGTACTCTCCCCAAAACCCACTCCCTGCAAGCTTTTTCCAAAGCGCCCGGGCTCGTTCAGGAACGGTTAGCGGCCCAGTGCCAACTGCCCTTAAAGGCCATAAAGGCCGGAGAAGCACAGTAAACCTGGTTTAAAGCAAACAAAAACTGTCGTGTCTCGGCAAGGCTCGGTTTTGGGCCCGAGATCCAGATCCCGAAAAGCGATTTTAGCTGCCTATGCTCCTTTAAACTGATTTTGAATTCAAAAGTCTAAGAACAGTATTGAGCCAGCAAGACCATTGCTGAGGGAGAAGTGGGGGGCAAGGAGAACATGCTCTCTATTTCTGGGGGTTCATAGGGATAGAGAAGCATTGTTCTGAGGTCAAAAACCAGGCGAGGGGCTGAAAGCAAATGGCCAGGGGCGGGATGGAAGAAAAACTCACGACTTTCCGAGGTTGCTGAGGGAGCGGGGGTGAATCAGGCGCGAGGGGGGGGGGACAAGGAAAACGTGGTCTGCTTTTATTTTCTGTTCATAGGGCTGGAAAAGCAATGTTCCGGGGCCAAAAAAAACCACCGTGCCCGGGCCGAACAGCACAGGTCGGGGGGTTGCAAGCAAACGGCCACGGGTGGGAGGGGAGAAAAGCACGCGACTTCCTAAGATTGGTGAAATAGGGGTTGATTTAAACATGGGGGGGGCGAAAAAACTAGGAGCCCGACATGGGGTCGGACAGAAACGGTGAATGCGACCACTGCGCCGCCTGCTGGCACCGCTGCCACCGCGAGGTTCAGCAGTTCAACGGCTTCCGACAAGTTGCCCGCAGAGTGATGGGAGACAGCCTGTCATCCAGGCGAGGTGCGGTAGCACAGCACAGCTATCCAACGGCCCTGCCTGCTTGTGGCAATGAAAAAGCAGTGCGTCCAACCTCGCAGCTCTGGGAAATGGACCGCTGCTGCACCCACAACACAGAATGAAACGACGTGAGGACATGAGTTCTGCCGTTCAAGCCAAGTTGTAAGCTCTGAGGATTCTGCTGTGCTGGTCGAATCTCAGGACGGAGGGCAAGCAGCTCGCGGACAGCCGCGAGGTCTGCAAAGGCTTCCTTGTAGGTCGCTTGCCGAAAATGGGCATCGGCCATCCACAAATTTGTCTGCGCCGCAAGCTCTGCCAATTTGGCATGGCAGCGCTGCGGCTGCGCTCTGAATGGTTGCAAGGCTTCCGCAAAGCACATAAGCGCTTTTTGGTCGTCGGACGCCAGGACCCATGCGCGCCCGGCCAGTGCCCAGTGGATCGCCAGCATCTCCTGACTCACACTTTCACTGGATCCTTTAGAGCCCGCAGCGTAGAGCTCGCAGGCCAAGTTTCGGCATTTTGCATCTTGCTTCTTCTCGGAAGTTGCATAACCCAAAGCTGCCCAAAGGCGGTGGCCAAGGCTGCACAGCTCCGTGCGATCTGCATCGCCTGCCTGCATCGCCGCGATTGCGACCAGCGGGGCCTTGGAATCGCGGGCAGCTTCAATCTTGGCATCCTCCTCAGCCGTGAGGGGCCGAGACTGCAGTCTCGCAGCTTCGACGAGACTCACAAGCGCTTGTAGTTGCTCTATTGGCGTTTCAGCTGGCTTCGGCGCCAAGGGCTCCATGCAGATTTGTGGCAGGCAACTTTCTGCCATGGTGCACGGCCCAATTCGCAAGTAGCGAGACGAGGTAAGGTACGGAAGCAAAAAGCCGTGTGACTGCGCTTACGTCGCACGTTGTGGCTTTTCGCACGGGCTAACGGCTAAAGCAAACGAGGCTGATGGATTCCTGACCGTTGTGTTCATAAGCTGCCTTGCCCTGTCTCGATGTCTTTCAACTTGCACTCTGTACCTTGGAATGGCAATGAGGAACGAGCGAGACCTGCTCGGCTTGTTGGAGGTGCCGTCGCAAGTGCACGGACATGCTGGCAGCCGGAAATTTGCTGACGCTTTTCAGTTAATCCCGTGAGCACACAGGCGCCCACTACAGCCTTCTGAAGGCAGGAGTTCTGGAGACACGCCCCAAGTGATTGTCTCACTTGAGGGTCAAGATGTGCTTGTCCGAGAAGACAACTGAAGGAAAACCGTAGACCGGGCCGCAAACATCCGAAGGAATCAGCTTGGCTGTGTCTTCCCTCCGCAAGCTTCATGCTAGACTTACAAAACTGATGCCCCAGTCCTAGCCGTCACGAGAAGGAACGACGCCTTGGCTACCGGCAGGCGTGCAACAAGATGCTGCGAACCCCTGCGTCCAGATCTACCATGCAACCAAGACACGTCATCGCACAAGCTTGACCTTGAGCGCTGCAGCGCGCAGCCTCAGTGAGTGACGCGGTTGCAACTGGACAACCTGTGCACAACGGTGGAGCTACAAGTAGTTCTAGGCTTCAACCTGGCTTCACCTGGCCAGTGACGGCTTAGCCAGCGACGCTAGTGGCCCATCTCTCCAAGCGTGTGTTGAAATTCGGCGTCCTGTCAGACGTCGAATGCTTTGCAATCGCAGCAGAAGAGGATTGAAAGTGTCAAGAAGGCGTGGCGATGAGAACTTGAGCTGGCAGGTCCTCAAGTGCCTTCAGCTCTCCGAACGCAGGGCAGTTCCTCAGCCGAGCGAGAAGATACTCGGAAGCCTCTGGAATGAGACGTGGCGACATCACAAAAAACTTTCTCTGCGAGGCACTCTAAACCGATGGACGTGAGCAGCTCCACTCCTTGTGTTCTTCGGTCCCTGAGCACGTGTCTGCTAGACTGCAACTCAGACGTCAAGCACTCCTGCCTTGGAACGAAGGTATACGGCAAGCGAAAGACTGGCTTAGCAGCACCGAGCATCATCAACATGGTGTTAACACCTCATAGAGATGGGCACCAGGCAGGCGATGGGACACGAGCAGGTGCTGCGACTCCGCATCCGAGCCCAGCACCGATTGGGTTTGGATCTGTGAAAAGCCTGCGAGGATTCTGGAACCGTGACAAGACTGCAAGCACAGCATAGCACAGCCAGACCAACCACCATCGCAGCATCAACAAGTGGCGCTGCTTCGAAAGCTCAGGAGCCCTTTGCATGCTTGCCCGCGCATGTTCACAACTCAGTGCCGCGCCACTTGTATAGTGGCTGCAGCTTGGCATCTAAAGCATCATCCTCTGGATCAGAAGTTCGCTGGAGCACCACATCGCTTGAACACTGTCCAGCTTTCAAACTCCTTCTCTGTCATAAGCTTCTTGACCAGAGCTGGCACAATGTTCGACCTAAACAGCAAGCTTCACTTCACTTCGGGCATGCTGTTGCAGGAGGTCCTTCGTTGATCTACCGCTGGAACCGAGGGATCTCTGCTTGTTCAACGGCTGCTTTTCCTGAACCTGTATGCTCGCTTGAGGCTCCCGGGTCCCAGGCGTGACAGAGATGACACCAACAGCTCCATGCTGATGTCTCGATTCGTGCATCCTCGAGTTCTTGTAGTTGCTTTCCAGGGCCAGAACTTCGGACCCAGCTGAGGTAGTGGCTGGTCATCGTTGCCAGACCAGCAGCAAACGCCCATACTGCTGTACTCCTCTGCATCAAACGCCACGAACCCTTTGCAAACTCTCCCTGTCTACGTTTGCCTTATGTAGCTCAATCACTTCTACGGGCATCCCTTGCGTAAGGGCTTGACGGCCAGAACATGAAGCACGAACGGCAGCTTATTCCACGCTACGAGCATCCTTTCATCCATCCTCCAATTTGTTGGAACCACCGCTTGCTGCTTCGAACAGCGCTGACACAACACAATGATTCAGAACGGAGCCATGCTACACTTTTCAAAGTGCGGAATGTGGCTGGGCAGATCGGTTTTATGGTGCCGCCCTGTGTCACTCTGTCAAACTGGCGATACGAGTAACTTCGGACAGAACGGAGGCAAGGTAGTGATTCAAGACGAGCCTCGATGCGCTCGTGGCCCATGCACTCCTTCACGAAGCAGAATCAGAAAATGAAGCATGCGCTTTACACATGCACTTTCTTTCAATGTACGGTCGATGAGCTCCTTGACGCCCACAAAATTAGGGTGATCCTTGATCTTTACCATCACGCTGGACTTGATGTCCTGGTGAAAATCTCATGAAACAGTAAGATGCAGTAAGCATTCGGCATGCAGCAGAAAGATCGCTCGGTTGTCCTGCCCCGTTCGCCCCGGCACCTGAGACGTTTTCTGGGAATTCAGTTGCAAGCTCACTCTGGCGTTCTCTGGGCGTGGGAACATTGTAGATGAAGGCTGGTCCGAACTTGAGCGCCGCTTCCAAATGCATGATCTCGGTTGCTTTCACATGGCTGGCTTTGCGAGCAAGCGGAGAAGGCATCGGACAATCCCGGAGTCAGACGTCTTGCCTGGGACGGTGAGCATGCACCGATGCTCAAAGCTTGATACGTGTGGCGACTTGGCATCGGACCGTAGTACGGATTGATCAGAAGCGAGGCATCCATCCCAGCAGCCTGCCAAGAGCACAGGAGCGCCAGAAATCAACCGGTGCCCTTCTAACGAAGAGAGCCGAGTGGCGAAGCCCTTCTCCGTGGCCCAGACGGCCTCAGAGCCGGACAGGGGAGAGCCGAGAGTAGAGAGAGCCAACAGCATGAAAAGACAGGCAAATGCCTCTGCAGTGTGGTTGCTGCCAGTATTTCCGACCTCTGCAACCGCAGATCTGCGGTCACCAGGCGTCGGCGCCGTTTAACACTGCGCTCGAGAATTGGCGAATCTTTGCACGAGCCGCCGGCAATGAGGATTCGGCCTCCGAATTTGGCCTGCTGGGCATCTTGAAGGAAGCGAAGAAGGGCAGATGTAATCAAGAAGTCCTTCGTGTGCGCGATGAGGCTCAGGTGTTCGTCCCAGGAAAGGAGATGACCCTCCCCTGTCGTGCCGCCAACAATCAAGCCTTCGACCTTGATATCTTCGGGACCATCACAAGAACTCGGACTCGACATCACTGTTGTCGTACACTGAGAAACGAGCTCCATTGGCGATTTGGTGCTCCACAATCTTTTCGTAAGCCTCGAAGCAAGAGACCGAGACTCCCCAGACAATTGGCTAATTATTTAATTCAAGCCATGCGCGTCCTACCTCGAGATCCACCTTTCCATCAGGAAGATAAGGCGTCTTCACAGCTGTGATGAGCCTCACCTGCACAACCGTCCCTGTGTGGACTGTGTGGATTTCGGATGGAGGTCAGCCCTCGGACAGTTCTCACATGCTCAAACTCTCTGTGCGCTGAATTTGCTGCGGGTCCAAAGGCGTCAAGTCTGAGTTCGATGTGACACGGGCGTTTCATCCTCCAGACCCCGATGCAGTTTATGCTACGGGCCCCTCGAGCGGCTGTACTGCGGTTCAGTGTTCAGCTGCTGGCCCGTCAAAAGCAGGCACACACACTCTCACATGATGTTGCTTTCCTGACTTAACTGTGCATCATTGCCTGGACTGGAAGCTGACTACGACATCTTTGCTCTGTCTGATTCTTGAAGCCTTCTCCTCGTGTGTCTCTCTTCCTGCCTTCATGTCTTCCGTCCGACAAAGTGAACTAGATAGCATGCTCTTTGCATGTCTCTCTGTCACACACGAACACACACTCACTCAGACATAAGAACAATCAGACACGACGTCCGACCTTTCGCAGAGCAAGGGTCGCCTCGGACATGGCTCTGCAGACAGCTAGGCTCAAAGCTAGCCTTCACTGGCAGCGGAGGCAGGGAAGAGGCCGCAGAAAAACACCAGGCACTACCCTGGCGCTCCAGCAACGCTACACTTCATGAGTCTCAGCGTGTCTCAAGCGTTCCGATGAGCGAATATTTTCAAACTGGAGGCGGACCTGGACTAGAATCCTAGCTGAAGCCTTGCCAAGCCGAATGAGTTGATTGTCTTGGGTCCTGGCAACTTATGCTTCGCGACAACACCGTTTCTGAGTTGGTGCTTTAGGATGATGCACTTTAAGATGTCATGTCCACTCAGGATTGCCCAACTCAGTGCGCGGTATACTAGCTACTTCCACGAAGCTGGATGCATGGCCCAGTCATGAGGCATTTGCTCACGAAGCCGTACATACTTTGACACGAGACATTGGTACCTCATGACATAAGGAACTCGAGCAAAAATCAGTGGAACGCTGGCTGCGCTGGGCGCAGGCTGCCTGCACTTCACCTGTGCAAGTTTCTTGATGGCCAAACAAATGCTTTCTCGCATCAGCTTGATGCTGGCGGGGTAAGCGGGTGAAGTGCCGGCAGGCACAACTACTAGAGCTTCTGACATGCGGCTCCCAGGCACAGGGTTCATTGGGCTTCAACTACTTGACGTGCGTCGCCAGGGAATTCGATGCCGAGTTTAGCAGCTGTGAAACCAAAAAACAAGGCACTTCCGAATGCGCCAGGCCCACGTCATCTTGTCAGGTACACATCATGCCAATCTGGACTGCTTGAGAATCCTTCGTGCTTCCAACAGCCCAAGCTTGTTGGAGGTACCCGGCAAGGTGGTGGGACCTCTCAAATCCAAAGGGCAACAACCTTACACTCCTAGGTGTAGAGGCCGCTGCCAGATTCCTTCCTACGTTGACCGCTCGTTTGGAGGGCTCAGGCGAGCTGTTTGCCGCTCCTTTGGACAAGCGTCCAGTCAAACGATTTTATCATTCGTGGCACACGTCCATTGACATGTGGCACGAGCATGTTGCAAACTGGTGTTGCAACGAAGATGGGGCTTTGGATGTTGTCATTATCAAGAAACTTTTCTACATTCAGGTCACAGGCTGGACAGAAACTCGGCACAGCTCGGCGTGTCTGAACCGCTCATGCAGAGTACCGTGTGATTTTTGTCGAAACAGAACCGGCGCCGAGCAGTTCATTGCGAGCTACGCTACTATGCACACATGGGCCGAATGATCGGAGTGACGCAAGCACACAATGTCACCTACTTCTAGAAGAGATGAGCATGACAAACAAGACGAGGCTTCCCTTCTAGCGTGAAGTCGCTCCGGTCACATCCCGTCGCAGATGACCATGGCTTGATACACTTTCGGCGCACCTCAAAGGGACACAGCTGCACAAGGTCTTAGGCGAGCTGATCTTCTTTTTGTGTGCTGGCATGTTGATGCATCTGCTGCGACGCGAAGTGCTGGCCTGACTCGCACCACACGCAGCAGCAGCTCAGATTCCCACGCTTTCAAGCGAGTTTGACGCGCCACTGGCTTTGATGCGTGTCTGCCTCAACCTCGATGCCTCAGGGCCGACCCCACAACGTGACTGGCCGTGAACGTAGACTGCAGGAACGGAACGAATGAACACAGACATTGGAGTTTTTTCCTCTACGTCCGCACCGACCTGGTATGGACATCAACCACTTCTTGAGGCTGCCATCGTTCCGCCTGACTCCAGCAGACAGGAGAATGCTCTTCGCTTTTACTTGCAGATGCTGAATGAGGCTGAGCTCTCCGCCTACTGTTCTCTCGGACGTACATGTTGAAGCTTGGAGCTACCTTCAAAGTGACAGAGTCACACACTGGACTCCAACCGTAAGCTTGTTTGATCAAGATCTTCCAGGTCGTTGTGAACCGCACTTGCGCAAGGACATGTTTCGCAACAAGGGGCTTTGCCAGCGAGCCAAACGCCATCCACAGAGCCGCCTCTTCCTGCCGACCCCAAAACAGGGCAGTTTGGACTCTGCTGGGCATGCAAAAAGGCTGGGAATGAAGCGAGCACGGTCCCGCTCTCTCTCTGAAACATCTCGCTGAGCCTTAGCCCTGAGCAGCCCCGAAGTTGCTCTGTCAGGCGTGGCCTTCCACCAAGTCTCGAACCGTACGCTGGAGGCCTTGAACTTGAGCCTGCCTGAGTGGAGGGCACGTGATGCAACGTTCTGCTGCAAAGTATCAGCGCCCCACGCATCTGCAGCTGCTGGCTCTTTCGCCTTGCGGAGGTGTCACGGTGAAAATATGCGCACTGTAAGCTCGGTCAGCCCATGTGATCCCATTTGCCTTGTAGCCGGCAGGCTGCCACCTGCGCGAAGCAAATCTCGACATTCGCGACTCGGCTGACACCTGTGTGGCCTCCTGGTTCTGTACGAGGATACTTCCTGTCATGCAATCCTTAAGCTCTCATAACTGGCCTTGCATCAATGCCTTCAACACAACAGACCCGCGCTTCTCCTCCAGCTCCTCTTCCTCATCGTCGTCCTCAGCCTCTTCATCGTCATCGACTGCATCGTCCTCGTCATCGTCGTTGTCGTCATCCTCCTGAGCTTGTCCAGACAGCACAGATCCCTCCCAATCTAGTGTACTGTAAACGCGCAGTCCTCCTCACAGTCCTCCTCGAGCTCCTGAGTCAAAACAAAGTGTGGTCTTGTCAAAGTAGAGTGGCTGCTTTCTCTTGTGACCTCATCTTCATGCGCTTCAGCTGCCCTCTTTCCACCTCACCAACTTTCAAAAACGAGAAATCTTTCAGGGAGAGCTGGAGCCCCGGGCTGTTCTTCACTTTCCAGGTCGTGCGGAAATCTCTAGTGTTCCTGCGTCTCCGAACCTCACATTCACAGAATGGGTCCGAGGTTCCTCCCTCATGTCTTTTCGACATCGGCTCTGGGTGGCAAGACCGGCTGACAGGGAGGCCTGCGACCATTAATGCCAGGCAAGCCTTGAATTGGGGTCGCGTCGATTGAAAGCGCTTCCACAGCCATACTCAACAAGGGCTGTGCGCATTCGAAGCTCCAACGATGGAGCCTGCACCGAGACCTGCAGGAGGGTGATAGTGCAGAAGGATCCCATCGGGAACTGTCACGACCGGCCTGTTTTTCCATCTCCCCACAGACATCACACCACACCTGCTACAAGCCATCCCATCCCAGGAAATGGGACTGTGCCAGTATGCTGCAAGAAGGTGGAAAGCTCCGGACCGACTCTGTCAGGATCTGCAGCGGGCCACTCACCTCCAGTTTACCGCACAGTCTGATGCCTCTCAGGCTCCAAACAACACGCCCGTCGCCTGGGGCATCTCTGTGAGCTGCTCCGGCGCGGTTGACCTGGCATCGAAAGGCAACAAAATGGTCACCGGCCGGATTGCACCAGGACTTCGCACACCAACTCTCCCCGCGGCAAACATGCCAGCATTTCTCTGCGCAAGGAGCTTCCGCCTCTGCAAAGCTCTTGTAGCAGCTTGAGATACACGACTTCCGGGCCCTCTGGGCCCTCCCGGGCCTCCGGGGCCTTGGCCTTGCACGCGGCACACCTGGCCCACGCTGCAAGTGCAAAGCTGGGACACTGCCCATTTCGCACCAGCAAGTCAGCTCTTGCATGCTCTCGCTCTGTGCTGCAGGCCGTAGAATGCGCCGCAAACTTGCCGGAATCACATGTCCGGCGCAAGCTCACCCTTCACATTGACAGGTGCTGGGCCGTCCAGGAATCAACCCGAAATCTCTCCGCCTCTTCCGTGGAGCCGTTCTTGCAAGGACTCCTTAAAGCTTGTGTTTGAAGTTCGGCTTCGGTTCGCCGGTCGGCATATCGCCGAGGGGCTGAGTCCCTTGCCAGCGCAGGAGCCCGTCCACCTCAAAGCTTTGATTGACGAATCGTCCCCAAATGAAGTCTTCGAAGCCACTCCAAGGACAGGACATATTTTGCAAACCGACCTACCTCGATCACGGCAAGAGCTTCTCTCGCTCTGCAAGCCGAACGTAGCTAATGCTGAGAAACCAACGATGAAGTCGGGTGTTCTTTGTCCTAGAACTCGGAACTGCTGAAGAGCTGCGCTTCGCTCCTGAAGCAAACTTCTGCTGAAGCCAGGTTAGCGGGCTACTGGGACCGTTCCTTGCTTGTCTTGAGTTGGCCCAAAATGCGTATGATTTCCGTACCTAGGAGCATGCCACAAAACATCATGATGCCGATGTAAGTGCTCGATGATGCACGCGGCAAACAGTAAGGGTCGGTCGTTCCTTGTTATTGAAGTGGAAGCGGCGCCTGGGTTTGCTCTGCGACAGCAGGGAAAGAAGAGAATTGGCCGGCAGAGAAAGGATGGAAGAGAGACAGAGGGAGAGAGAGGCAGAAAGAACATAAGAGAGTCTGAGGATCCAGCATGAACTCATCTCTTCGACGAAGGGTCAAGCGACTCTCCTTTCAAAAGCAGAATCATACGGCCATCCGTGAGGCATTCAAAATGCACAGGGGCGGCATGCGTCTGTTCATAAACTGAGGACTCTACATGAAGCTCGTCCATGTCTGCTCGGCGCTGTATCCTCAAGTGCTCAAAGAGGGTGATTGCGGCCTCTTTTCTTGACTCTGCTACCTCTCTGGGTACGGGAGGGCAGGGCCTCGCCTGACAGGAGGCAGAGAGGCAAAAGCGTGGCACCGGAAGCCCTGCACAACTGGACCCGGGGAGTAGCTGAGATTTGAACGAGTGCCGGTTCCCGTGGCCATGACTCTCCTGCACAGACACAGATCTCACAAGCAGACAACATGACAAGCCGCCGGCCAAACATGTGGCACTTCACCGACAGATCTCGGACAGAGGTGAAGAATATTGGCTTCATTGCAATGGTTCGAGCTGCGCTGCCTGTCTGCTCGCCTCCGGATGAAGAAGCACTTCACCTGGCAGCAAGACGCGTCGCAAGAAGCCGAAGCTCCCATGCCTGAGTTCTAAGGCACTGTAACTTGTAACATCGATGAGGGGAAGACACAGCTGCCGTGCAGATTCAGGAAGCCGTGCACTGGATGTCCTTCGATTCAAAGGTCCCTTTCGCTGACGAAAAATCCTTTCCTTTCCGGTCCTGTCCAAGCTCAGCTCATGGAGCAGAACACGACGCCTTGGCGGCCCCAAGCAAATCCTCTCTGCATTGCTCTGCATTGCTCGGCTATACCTGACAAAAAGCATAAGTGCCGCACAGTTCTGGAGGCAGGTGGCAGGCAACAGCAAAGGGATCTTCCTGAAGTTGCTGAAGCTGGTGAAGCTTCCAATCATGCGGCAAGGAGACACTCCTTCTTCTCCGACTCCATAGAATCCATGGACAGCAATGTACCTCATGCAGGAAGAGCTCTTCCTGACTTGCAACTCCTCTTGCTCTAGATACTGAGGGACAAGCAGCGCAAGTAGCATGCATGTAGGAACAACCGTGAGCAAATCTCAGCCTGTCAGCTCATGTCGGGTGGCACGTGGACAGAGCAGCAGGCAAGCCGCAAGAAAGCTGGGCTCAAAACGTCATCTTTTGCCTGGCAGACCAGTGGAAACGTATCCACACGGGAGGAGACTGCGCGTTCGTCGCCTTGTGGGGGTTGTACCGAGCATCGGCAACTATGGGATGCCCAAGCGACGCCATGTGCAGACCTCAATCATGCTTGGCAAAAGCTCTACATGCGAGCGAGCAAAAGGATCAGTCTGAGTGGATGCGCATGAGTGCACTGGGTGGGCTCATTCTCGGATCATTATCGTCAAGGCTTGTTATGCTTGTGCATGTGATGCAGCCACATGCGCGATGCCGAAACAGTATCTGCTACCAGTAAGGTAAGTTTAGCACGTGTCTCGCACCATTGTTTTCCATGACCTGACTCCGGGTGCCTAGACACTGCTCCGTGTCTCATTGACTGTCCTTCCACCATAGAAAGCTGCTGGACAGCTTTCAAGGGGAGAAGCATCTCCCCTTGCCTCCTCATCAGGTCAAGATCATCAAGGCTTTGCGTGTAACAAGCCCTGGGCGAATGCTCGCAGGAGCTCGAGTAGGCCCACAAGCTTCAAGCGAATTGGAGGCATCTGAAGGCCACATTGGGAAAACTGGATCATTTGCTGCAGGTTCGGGGATCGGGAGCAATACCAACAGCGCGCCGTTTGTCTGTGCATTCTGAAGACGATGAAGTCTGCTGCGAGTCCGCGAAGAGATCCAGGTCGACCATGATACTTCCAGCCCGGCATCTCTACCGTTGATCACAGGTGCGCGGAGACGGCAAATTCAAGCAGAGGAAAGCTGAGTCGAACTGGCTGACTAGCCATCGCCATGGCTGTTGCGGGCAGCTTGCCAGCGCTCAACCTCGCCCTTCAAGCCCTCAGCTCTGGCGCGCAGCATCGCCGCCTTGTCGCCGAGCCCATCGGAGGTTCCTGCAGCTCCTGCGCCAGGCGCGTCGCCCACTGGCCCTGCGTGTCCGGAACTGGGCACCGGCAGCGAAGGGACTGGGCCCTGACCTGTCACAGACCGCGTTCATACAGTATCTACGTTCTATATATGGAAACCCCACAGAGGCAAGGAAGGAAGTTCTGATGGCTTCTCTGCCTTGCGAATTTTGGGCCCCTGACTCCGACCTGGTCCTCTGTCGAAAGTTCGGCCGAGCCTCTCCCTTCTCACATCGTTTGTAATGGCCAATGGGGTTCCCATGGCAGATACCGCCACAGTAGCCCGGCGCTCTGCATCAAAGAGCTGATCTGTCAGGTCCTTCAGGTGTGCTTCCTTCTGGGCCTGGTCATGCCTCAGCCTTCGAAGTTCCTTCTCCGCATCTTCTGCGCGGTGCATGATCGACGCACCCCTGGCCGCCTCAGCCCGCACCTCGGTCAGGGCAGATCGCAGTGTAGCAGACTCGGCTGCACGCGCCCGGTCTGCAACGAGCTTCATCTGCTCAAACGCAACCTCTTCCTTGCTCAAGTCGTGCCGGAGGCCCAAAGCCTCCTTGCGCATTGCAGCCGCCTCAGCACGCAGCGCACTTGCCTCGGTCGTGGCCGCGTGAATCGAGGCATCGCGCTGGTCAAGGAGGCGTGCCTCCTCCTGGCGACTGGCATACATCAGCTGAGCTTCTGCCGCTTCGCCTTCGGACCAGCCTTCAGTCTCCGCAAAATAAAACCAACCCGCAGCTTGCAACTCGAGGGCTCGTGTTGCTTTCTCCTGGGACAGCTCTGCACGGGCTTCGGCAGCAGAAACCTCCTCCTCCCTAAGCTTAACCAAAGCTTCTTCCCCCTCTCCGGCCAAATGCAAAGCTTGTTGTGCTTCTCCTAACCTTCCGGAAGATTCTTGTTCTTCTTCTTCCATCCAAGCACGCAAGGCCAACAACTCACTGCGGCTGGCATCCATGAGATCTTGCAAAAGTAAACGAGCTTCGCCGGTTGCCGCCTCGGCTCGTTCGGCTTCTGACTCGGCCATGAGTTGGCAAGTGGCTTCGGCAGCCAGGGCAGTACGCAGCATGTCCTCAGTGTCCTTTGCACCTTGAACAGCTGATAGAACTGCTATCTGGTTCTCGTCTCGCAAAGCGCGCCGTATCTTTTCCAACTCGACTTGCGATTCATCCTCCTTTGATAGTCGCTTCTCTGCTGCTTCCAGCAAGGATCGGAGGCGAGGCAGCTCCGTTACTTCTTGCTTCAGCTGTGCCACCTGGACCTCCAAGCCTTCAACTTTGTTGTCGGAGGCCTTAGTATGATCAGCAGAGTCCTCGATCAAAACAACCTCCGTGCTCTCCTCCTTCGTAGCAACCTTACCATCCATCACTGCTGGAGCAGCATTCGAAAGCTCGTCTCCCGCCCATGCCGAAGATGACAGGCCCCGTTGAAGAAGCTCCTCCTCCAGCTGATCACCCCGCTCGACGGCTCTTTGCAACTGCTGCCTCAGGGCAGCTTCCTGCTCTGAGGACTCCTCGGCAACCGCGCGCAGGGCGGCTGCTGCAGCTTTGCGACGCTCGACCTGCAAGCGCTTGCGCCAACGCTTCTCCTCCTCCTGCATCCGTGCCAGAATTTCCGCATGCAGCTCCACCGTCCGTGGATTGGGACCGGTGGCTTCGGCAGGTGCAGGTGGAGGAGGCGCAGGAGGCGCATGGGCAGAAGCTGCCTGCCGCATCTGCAGACCTTCATGCCGGCCTTCTACAAGAGAGCGCCCGCCTTCTGCATGAGACCTTTGCAAGGCCTCGGCCGCCTCCTGCGCCTCTGTCTCTGCGTGCGAAACAGATTGCTCCAGCTCTGTGTACTTTGCCTCCATCTGCGAAATAGCAGCCTCCAAGTCTGCGAGGTTGTCCTCGAGTTCTGCTCGAGAGGGTCTGGACAAAACCTCCACAGGATCTGCTTCCGAGAACGGCGAGCCGACGGAGAACTGCGGACTTGCACGTCGTGAAGGCAGCATGGCTTCGCTTGGGAGAGGCAGAGCTTCACTCGGCGATGGTAAGTTCGAGGGGTCATCTCCAAGAATCTCAGAAACACCAGGAAAGCCAAAGGAAGGTGAGGGCAAGGGCAAAGGGGAGGTAGAGCGGCCCGTTACTGCAGGTGGGGATCTCGGCGGTCGCGCCGACCCCTGAGCAACAGAGCCCACGGTGATGCTCGGGCTGCGTGGGGGCAAAGGCCTCCGGCCAAAGGTCAACTGTCGCTGTCGCCCAGGTCGTCCGGACTCTTCCGATTCTGATGCCCCTACGGTCGGTGAGGAACTTCTCCCCGGTCGCTTCTCCGTCTGCCCTTTTGAGCCCTCTTGCTTCTCCGAACGTCTGGCGGAGAGCTCGGCCAACTCTTCGCTTTGCAGTTGGAAGGCCAGGCGTACACCGAGCAGCTCCTCCTCCAACTGCTGCGCTTGTCGCTCGCTTTGGAGGGCGGCCTCGCCCAAGAGCTCCGTCGAGTCTAAGACCTCCTTCGAGAACGGCGTTTAATGGATCAAGTGAAGTTTACGGGGGTCTGCAGTTCTGCAACGATAGGGAGCCCAAAACACAGCATCCGAAACCTAAACATTCGACGTTCTCTCCTGGAAAGTTCCCTGCTGTTCGGACAACTTCTCGTTCTGCAGCTGGATCTGTGCTTCGAGGCGGTTAACTTCCTCCTGCATGTCCGGGACGGGGGGATCTTGTTCTTGCAGCAGCTGTGGGTCCTAAGCAGCATCTCCGATTCACAGAGACAAGTGGAAGCTTCACAACGAAGCACAGAAGCTGGTTGAATAAGGCAGCCCTAATGTGAAGAAACCCCAAACTCTCCAAGCAGGGATCTGCCGTCTGGTCGGACCGCAAAGGGCTGCGAAGCTTCGGCATCATGCTTTCGCCATGCCAGTCACTGCTGATGGAAAGCAAAGCAATCTGAACCTTGTCGAGGTCGTCCTCAGCGATCTGTCTAAAAGACGACACTGCCTAGTGAGTATTCCAAAGCTCCTGCAACACAAGGTTCACGTTTCCTATGTCACCCGGTCAGGAGACTGCCTGCTTGGCCAGTGGACGTTGCAGGACGATCCGAACATGATCGGTTTCTTTAGAAAGGCAAATGGCAAGTGCAGACTCAGGGAACGGTGTTTGGAAGCAGCAAGCGGTCACAGGCCGTCATGGCCATCACTGCAGGAATCGTACGACTGCCGATTGCGGCAATAAGCGTCTTCGTGTTCGCAGTCACAGTCGTCTTCCTGGCACCAGTAGGTGCACGACAAGTACAGGTGCAGTAGTCGTCGGCGTGGCGGTGGTGGCGGTGGTGGCACTGTAGTGGTAGTTGTAGTGGTAGTGCTAGCGGTAGTAGTAGTAGTAGTAGTAGTAGTAGTAGTAGTAGTGATAGTAGTCAAGTCGTCGTCGTCGTCGCCGCCGTCGTCGTCGTCGTAGTCGTAGTAGTCGTAGTCGTCGTCGTCGTCGTAGTAGTAGTAGTAGGAGGAGGAGGAGGAGGAAGTGGTAATGGTAGTGGGCCCATGCCAGCTGCTGGATGAGGATGGAGCGACTTCAAAGGTTCGGTCTCTGTGATTCTCTGCGCAGCCCAGATTCTGCAATCTGACGAAGGCCAGGCTCAGCTTCTGTTGGCCGCGGGAGTGCCTCACAGGTTCGACATCCACAGAGTTTCCTAAAAGCCGACAGCAGTGGATCGAAGTTCGGGCCTCCATCAGTGGGCCATCCGACAGCTCTGCTGCGCCCGGCAAAGAAGGTGCCCGCAAGAAGGAGTCGGGCGGTTCTGTGTGGTGTGCCTGAGGATCTGGAGGGGCCTGGATGGCCTGCAAGGGCTGGGGCTGGACAGCAGCCTGGGCAGGCAGCGCTTGCGGGCTCTGATGTAAGGGCTGGCTCTGTGCCTGCCCGGTCACTGGAGGGGATGCTCCAGAGAGGCGCTGCAGCAACTCTGTATTTTCGTCGACTGCCCTCAGACGAAGGGTTCTTTCTTTGTGCAGTTCCACCCGTGCGGTATACAAGTCAGAGTCGTGAAGCTCTTTCCGTGCTTCTTCAGCATGGGCCAGAGCCGTCGCTTCCTCGGCTAGCGCTCTGGCCGCTGTGGTTTCGGCGAGATCAAACCCTTGGGCCTTTGCCACAAGCTGGAAGGCGTCCCTTCCCAAGTCGCCCTGCACCATGGCGGCAGTGGCCTCTTCCAGGTTGCGGAGCTGACCAGACAAAAACTCCTCCATTTCTTCTTGCTGCGGAATCGTGCTGCGGATGGCATTTGCTTCTTGCACCAGGGGATCCTCCAACTGAAGCGTCATCCGTCTCGCTTCATCATTGCGCCGTCGCAAACCACGGACCGCAGCATTCTCGGCTCGCACCAGGGACTGTTTTAGGTCTTCTCTTTGTTGTACTGCCTGCTGGACAGTTGACTCTATGTCGCTCCCAGCTGTTCGGTGAAAGGAACGCATGGCAGCTTTTTCTATTCGCAGCTCCGTCCTAACACTTTCGATCTCATTCTCCTGGCTTTGGCTCGCCTTGTAGCTGGCGGACACCGTTCCCTCCACCAGTTGCCGCTGCAGGCCGCGTGCAACGGCCTGCTCCATGCGTAAAGGGAGATTGCCGGAGCCGGAGCCACCTGCGGCTTCGCTCATCATCTCTGCTTCACAATTCCGCACTGCCTGCTGCGACCTCTGAAGATCTGCTTTCACCTTCTTCATCGTCGCCTCCAACTCTCCCAGCTCGGTCTTCAGGAGACTCTCCCTCGGTCCAGACCCATGCATCTTCTGCCGCGCAAGCTCGCCTCGAGCCTCCTCCAGTTCCTGGCGTAGCTCGTCAAGTGCGAGACTTGCACCCTCGGACTGCGACTGTCTCGTAGGAGCCGGAGGCCGGGCCCGGACTTCAGCGGCTTCAGCCAGCTCACCACGGAGGCGCTTGATCAAGCCCTGGGCACTTCTGGCCTCGTCTCGCAGCTTTGCCCGCTCTGCATGTGCTGCTTGGAGCTCTGCCCGACTCTCTGCGAGCTCTTCTTCCAGAGCATGTCCGCCGGGCTGGATGGGCTCTCTGAAGCTTGCAGGCATCGCGCTTGGCTCGGGATCGGAGATGCGAGCAGCTTGCCGCTTCGGCGTCGCCTCCTTCTGGATGTTCCCCACCTCGGGTGTCGGCCCTGTCGGCCTGTCTAAGGATGCGTCCACCGCTTGCACGTCGGCTCCCACCTTCGCTGAGGCTCTTGGTCCAGCTCCGCCTGGCTTCAGCTCGGCGTTCGCTTGGCTTCCAGACTGGCTTCTGAGCGTCTTCGACACAGGCTCCGGATCCACCTCTTTGCTCCTTGGGAGGGAGGGCGCAAGCGCAGGGGTCACTGAGTCATCTGCCGAAACCGTCGACGTGGCCTCTGCTGGAGAAGCATTCAAGGTGCCCTTCTGGCTGGGGCTGGTGGTGGTGAGTTTGGATGGCTTGGCTGGTGGGTCTGCAGCCAATGTGGTTGAAGTCGGCACAGGTTTTGTTGGTGGATCAGGGGAAAGATGGTCGTCATGGCCTTGCTTGGTTGGAACTTCACTAGATTCCGATGCCAATGCTGGGGCCGCTGTGGCCGCTGGGGCTTCGACTGAGGCCTTTGCCTCGGGCTTGGTCACTTTGGGTTCGGCTTTTGGCTGTGGCTGGGCAGGAGGCGTCTGTGGCTCCGAGCGCGGCGCAGCACTGGCCCTGGCGGCCTCAGCCGTGGCTGCAGCCTTGGTAGCCTCAGCCTTCGTGGCCGCAGCCTTGGCTGCCTCAGCTTTTGCGGCCTCCGCTGCTGCAGCCTTCGCTGCCTCAGCTCTTGCTGCCTCAGCTTTTGCTGTCTCAGCCTTGGCCGCCTCCTCTGCCGCAGCCTTGGCGGCCTCAGCCTTTGCTGCCTCAGCTCTTGCAGTCTCTGCTTTTGCTGTCTCAGCCTTGGCCGCCTCCGCTGCTGCAGCCTTGGCGGCCTCAGCCTTGGCTGCCGCGGCTTTTGCTGCCTCAGCTTTTGCTGCCTCAGCCTTGGCGGCCGCAGCCTTGGAAGCTGCCGCTTTGGCTGCCTCAGCTTTGGCGGCCTCAGCTTTGGCGGCCTCAGCTTTGGCGGCCTTGGTCTTGGCCTCTTGAGCCTCAGCTGCGATCCTTGCAAGTCTCTTTGCCTGCACATCCGAATCGCTTGCCACGAAGACCAGCGTGAGAGGACGCTGCTGCGTGATGTCACGAAAATCATCATCAGAGACATGCTCCAGGTCGCTGCCCTGCGCTCGCACCAAAGAGTCTCCTGGTATGATTTCCTGTTCCGCAGCCCAGCTTCCGGAGGAGACTGACTTCACTTCGATGTGGCCAGGGGGCAAACTCGTGAACACCAGTCCCAGCTTCGCAACATCTTCCGGCACGACGGCCTGGAACAAGTCATCTCTGAGCGCCATCTGCGCGGATTCCTTCTGCAGCCATGGCGGCCAGGCCAGGCCCAGGGCTCAGGGACAAAACTCCTACTGAGCCTCAGGGCGCCCTCAAGACTCCCAGACTACACATTCACATACTACACGAAGCTACACCAAGGGGGGAGGCTTGGGGATTGCAGCCAGGAGTCGGATCTGGTGCTGTCGTCCATGTTCGATCTGCACCTCTCATAAACTGGATCACGTGCTGCCACGAACCTAAACTCCGCACCTGGAGCAAGCTGAAGCTTCCCCAGGCACCGTGGAAGTATCCCAGGACACGGAAGCGGGTCACCTGTCGTCACACCATTGGAGCAGGTAGCTCAGGTAGCTCTATAAGCTAGTATGACAAAGTATGCGCACCGCTTCACGGCCCTCTGTTGAGCAGGCACCAAGAGGCCTCAAATCGCTGCATGCGGCTGGTCTGAGAGAAAGAGAAGGCAGCAGTCGCATGTCAGAGCGGTCGCCTGTCTGCACGGCTCAGAGCCTGAGTCGGCGTGTTCCCTTTCGTGAGGGGATCCTTTCAAACGACTTCGTTTTCCCGAGGCCAAAGGCCAACGGCGCTGAGAAGACGCCCATCCCCGGCTCCACCATGCCATGGCAGAGGCCCACCTCAAGGCAAGTCCGGAAACGGAACGCCGAGTCCGAGCCGCAGGTAACGTGAGCCGACGCGAGCCGAAGCGAGCCGACACAAGCCGAGGCAGCCACGTACTGCTTCACGATCCCTTTGTTAAGAATTTGCTGACCTTACTCAGAGAAGTCTGTGCCACCAGCTTTCCTGCAATTGGCTATCTAAGGAAAGCGCAGATGTGCTTGGAAGCCGTTTTGTTGGTGCCCACTAACTCAGCCGGGTGCAGAGTACAAGGCCAGCAAAAGCTTTATCGGAGTCTGCGGGGATCAGGCCACGATGCCGGAGGTGCCTTTGTCGAGGCGATGGCATGGAGCCGCAGTTGGGGCCTGATTTCAGCGACAGCCGGGGCTTCAAAGCGGCCACGTTTTACCACGGGATGCCGGCATTGAAGTAGCACCACACGTGTCGAATGAGGTTGCCTTCGAGGCCTTGCGTGGGGCCCATGTTCCAAACTCCAAACCCCCTCAGAGTGCGCAGGCCACACAGGGCCTTCCCATTGAGGGGTTGAGCAGGTTGCCCATCCAGAAGGCTTGAACCTCGCATGGCTAAGCGCTTACGGAGCAGGTTCTCAATAATCAGGCTAGGTTGCGGGCATGGCCATGATCTGATAGGTCTTGCGTTCATCCACCAGGACCTGGAGTTTCAATGCAGAGGAGCTGTTTTAAAGTGGACTGGCACGGCCTGAGGTCTGAGTCCGGTTGGCATGTGCGAGCATCCTGGCGTTTAGTTAAGACCGCCAGACGCGGCAGGCAGTGTCTTCGTCCCCCTCCCCCAGCTTAGGAAGCCGATGTGTTGAAGCATTCTCACTTTTCCCGCGACCTCTGAATGCGTCGTGTCCGACGAAGGCTTTTGGATGCCTAGCAACAGAGGCAAGCGGTTGGGCTGCACGCGAATCAGCAACATGCTGGCCTTGGATCCATCAACGGCCAGACCAGACTCTCCCAAAGTGCTGAGCTCAGTCCGGCAATGTGTGGCAGTGGCCTTCAGGCATCAGACCGTATGCAGAAATAAGCTGGCTCAGAGGCTGAGAGCATGACAAGGGAGAGCTGAATTCATCTGGCTCCTGCACAGGCTTTTTGTCGCTCATCAAGCCTATGGCTCTTGCAGAGTTCAGCCTCGGTTGTCTTTTCAAGACTGGCTCCACAGATGAGCTGGGCTTCTTCCACAGCCTCTGCACAGCACAGAATGGTAGTTCAACGAGACCCACCATGCGTTGCTGCTCTGGCCGACGCTAGACTCAGTTGCATGCAGAGGCGTCAGTGGGCTTTGCTGCCGCCCCTGTCCTGCCGGGAACCGGGGGAAGCAGAAATCCTTGCAGGTCTCCGGAGAGCCTCAGGAGCTCCAGGAGGCTGCGCCCCATGTCAACGGCGTTCCCGGGAGCCGCAGTGTCTGTGCTTAACCTGTACAGACAAGCCAGAAGGGCATAGCTCAGGATGCCAGATGCCAGAGCTGACGGGCCTCTCACTGCCTTCACTGGCGGAGTAGGGCTCTTCGAGCAGGGCCACATCTTCAGGCAAAGCTGTGTCCGACTCGGTGCCGGTGCCTTGCAAGCGATATGGCACATCTGCAGTGCCTTCCCGACTTCCGAAGCAACCCAGCGCTACAGTACGTACAATCTCCCAAGCCCCGATCAGCAAATCGATTCAGTGGGCCGGCTTTCTTGCTCAAAGAACGCTGAAGTTACATGCTGCTCGTACACTGCCGTTTTCTGTGCAGGGCAAAAGCTGGCGTGGGCAGTGCGGATGAATTTTCGGGGCCTCTTCGAGGGGCTCTGCTAAAGCCATGGAAGGCGCGTATGCAATGGCCCTCGAGCGCCTGTGTCTGCCGGCTCTGTCTCGGAGGAGGCTGCTGTGCCCTCCTCACACTCAAACAGTGGCACGGCAAAGCTCCCCTCGGTCTGTGCCAGCGGTGCCGCCTTGGGAAGCGTCCCGTGCTCTGGCTCAAGGATCTCTTGCACCTCTCGCGTTGCTCTCGCGCAGGTTAGCAGGTTAGCAGGTTAGCAGCGGCCAGTGGAATCGAGTCGAAGCCTCGCAGCTCGACTCGCCAGAAGAGCCTGGAGCCCAGCCAGGCAAGGGGGTTCCAGTCCCAGTTCAAGTCTTTTGGGCCTGATTCCGGCTGCTGTTCTCCACCTCCGTTTCTCTCAGTCACACAACAACCGACGAAGGCAAACTCAGCAGGCGGCCGGCAGGCGACAAATCTTCAAAAGCGAGTTGAGACTGCGACGTCCTTAAGCTTTCAACCCGGGAGTGTCTCATGCACTTGTGTTACAGAACGGTCCATGACAAGATCAGATCGGGATCTAGGGATGCAGCAGACCCTTCATCGAACGCCACACTCCTCGTTTGAATCAACAGCCTTGCTGTACAGACAGGCACTGGGGAAACCAAGGTCTGCACGTACTTCGCGAGAGCCAGGTGTCTCCTGCAGAACCACGCAAGCTGCACAGCACGAAAGCTTCGGCAGCTCGGAGCTCGTGCCTCGGCTTCCTCCGCCATCTCCGTCGTCTCTTTCGTCTTTACAGACTCAGCCTCGAATCCACCGTGGAGAAGCCGCTGGCCTGAAGGCCAGCCAGCTACAGGCGCCAAAGTCCCAGCTGAGTCCCTGCCTATGCCGAAGCAAGTGGACAATGCAGCCCTGCAAGCTTCACCTTCAATTTCTTCGCAGCGACGGTCTGATGCAATGGCTCGTTTCGTTTCTCTTCTGCATCGCCTGCTTGAGTGCTGAGGCTTCCAATCGTGAGGCAGTTGGTCCTGCTAAGTACAAACTACACGTCAGACGGTTCTCTGCCAAGGAAGCCTCTTTGAGTTCAAGCCTGGCCTGTCCATGACCAGCCCGTGGAATCTCCGCCCATATACAAGCTGGGCTTGATAGCAGCGGTTCGAAGCGAAAATCCGAAGGAAATTGTGGAATATGCTAGGACAACGGCTGTACAAACCATTCGCTGACACCGAATCAGGTCGGATCCATGTTGCAAGCGCGCTTTTCACCAACGCATGCATCATGATGTTCGCTCTGCTGCGACATGCTCATTCTGATGCCTGGCACTTGGGTCCGGGCCGGCTGGTCTCACACTAGCTACCGCAGAAGACCGGCATTCCTGAAGCTTGCCGGGAGCACACGCTGAGAAAGGTGATGACAACGATGACCGCCATGGCAACGATGCCGAGGAGCATTCGGCCTCCGGAGCACGTGACGATCCCAGCAAACGAAGCCTTAAGATTTCTGATTGCCTCTCTGGTCTCGCCACCAGAGATCATCGTTGTAACGCTTTGCGTTCGTTCGGAAAGAGACCTCAAATTCTACGGATGGTGCCCTCCCCAAGGTCGGCAGCCGTGGAAGTCAAGGGCTCAAGCAGACTCCGACTTCAAAGCGGCGGTTTTGTCGAGCAAAGAGTCGATGCGCTCGCCGCGCTCGATGACCTTTGCAGCATCTGAAGCCATGAATCCCGTGCCTCTCTGAAAGATAATGCTCCACGAACGCCCGAACTCCGTTCTGTACGTTACTTTGACCCATGGCAGCGGCCAGCCATAACGTCCTGAACATCCAGGATGTTTCGATTCGAGATTGCCAAAATTGCACTACCTCGAAGTTCGATTGCAGAACGCTCTGTCCTCCCCACCCTGACTCGTCAGTCAAACCATCAAGCAATTATGAATTGCAGGAAAGTGCCCCACGAGCCCTGTGAAACCGGTCACCGAGCCGCTTTGGCCAGGGCATTTTGAGTGATGTCAGCCACATCCTGCACGAAGAGCATTCGGGATTCGAGCGCAATTTTTTAACCCGCAGAACTGTTACATAGCTCCTCGAGATCTCTCTCCATCTGCTGCATCTTGCCACCACCATCACTGTTATAGCGCGAGATGAGATCTCGCAGCATCCTCGTGACCAGTCTCAAAAACTCAAAGCGCAACAAGCGTTTAGCTAACGGCATGTTAGCCAAAACTTCCTAGTTAGGTGCAGTGGGCCCTTTCTCGGTCGCCCGGCCGGGCAAACCGCCCGAAAACTCGGTGCCGGTGCCGGAGTCTTCGGCGCCCGCCCGGCGCACCCACGCCCCGCTAGATGCCGGCACTTACCAAATAGCAAGATCAAGCAGCCTGTCCTCAGGCGCCCCATGACAGGCGAAGTCGACGTTGACGGCCGCCTCGCCGAGCACCTGCATGACATCGTCGACGGGTGCCCTCACCCGCGTCCAGCCCTCGGCACGTGCCCGGGAGTCGTCGCCCCTTTAGAGACGGTATCGGATACGGTTGTTGCCGAGAACTCGGTAGAAGTCGGGCGACCAGTGGCGATCGGCTGAAAAGCCCCAGAGTGAGGCGAGGATCCCGTTAAGCGAGGGGCCTTTCATGAGGGCGGTCGAACGCCAGACGGTCGGCGAAATCCACCAACGGAGCCAAAACGTCCAGAGGGAACGCCTCCCCTGACGATGGTCTTGATGACCCTGTTGGCGTGGCGGCGCAGGAGCGGGTCCACCGGTATCTGGAGCTCGTGGCGAAAGACGGTGAGGTAGTACTGGTTGACACTCCAGTGCATCTGCACGGGGCCTCGAAGCTGATCTGGTTCCAGGTGCGAAGGCTAGGGCCCCTTGGTCGACGTCGCGGAGCTCGGCTTGAGGCGACAGGGCCCTGATGGCCGCCGTCAGGGTGCGACGCCCCGGCGATGAAGGTACGAATGAAGATCTCGCTGTCGGTCTGGATCGCTTCATCGCGGTAGGCGAACGGATTCAAGGGCGCCGAGTCGTGGCTCGCCGGCGATTCCCTCGACGCCCGCCAAGGACAAATCATCCGGCGAAGTGGCCGTAGGCGAGGACGACAAAGCAGTGTCGCCCGCAGCGAAGTCGGCGAAGGCGGCGCTCTCGAAGCCGGAAGAGCCCGTGTCTTCAAGGCTGGGCGAAAGGACAAGAGGGAATTTGAAAAATCAAGCGGTCGAGCCGTAATGCTACCGGCCGACAGCTTACGCTTGTTCCTACGTGCATGAATGAACTACACCACAAAATGAAGACGATGCTCGACGTGCTCCTGGCAAGCTCGTCCTCGCGGTGTCCCAGCCGTCGGGTCTGTGCCTCTCAAGAGGCGAGATAAGGAGCCCCCTGGACCACCCTTTCGTGCTGGAAAACTGTGGGTTCATAGCATGACAGGCAAGCTATCGAGCTGGGCATGGTGCATGGTCGTGGCACACAACTAAGCTCGAGTCCCAGGATCAGAGCTACTTCGATCTGTAGCACGCCACGCAACACACGAGCGCAACGGCTTGTGTCCTCCGTTGTCTTCCACGTAGGATTTGCTTCAATGTCAAAACTATCAATATGAATCTTGTATGCCTGCTCGGATCTTCGGCGTTCCCTTCGTACCCAAAGCCGGCGGTCTTCATCCCATCTGTTTAACATAACATATTAGTCTTATCAACAGTCCGATGCGGCGAAAGCCGCAGCTCTGGAATGTCGTGATAACCTTTAGAATTCGGCCTGACGACAAACACGGGAGCAAGTTAAGAGCCACTTGATGCCACTCCTGCAAGTGTATTTCTTCGCCCGGCGTTGCACAACCGCACCAGACTCTATGTCGATGTGAGCTGTCCGGTGCAGGCCCTCTCCTGCAATCCAAGCAAGCTAAAAGCTGTACCGGCCTCAAAACTTCGACGGAACTCGCTGAGAAACTCGAAGACCTCTGTGGTGTTTCGCTCAGAAACATTCTGAGAGAGCGAAGACTGAAGCGTATATCCACAAAGCATTCTTGATCAGGGCGCGAGCCATTTCGGTGCCGGCAGTAGGGGAGGCGATACACAAGAAGATCAGCTCCTTGGGAGCCGAGGCGCCCAGCGGCAGCAAAGGCCCCCTCCCCCCCTTTGCCTTATCCAGCAAGTAGTTGAAGGTGTGACCTCCATACACATAGGACCTGAAGACGGTGCTGTGGCAAGGAGGGCCAACGCACGAACTGCAACCCTTGCTTTGAGGCTCATGCTTTATGGCCCCAGTACGCGGTATCTTTGGGAGCACCTGACCAAAGTTGCGGCACTGAACGAAACGAAACATGGACACTGCTTGCGGTGCTTGCAGCCTTCCGTGAGACTTCTGTCAAGTCATCGGAGCCTGGCACGTAGCCACACAATAATTACGAAAGATGCAACTGGAAGGCTGCGACACATGCTTCAAAGCTCGCCGTGTGCTTTCGGACGAGCTGTGAGCCCCTCAAACTCTTGCCGGCCTGGTGAGGCATCATACTCACAAAGGACAAAGGTCCTCAGCTACAGTTGAAAGCACCACGATTGGCCGGTGACTGGGTCATCCACAAGCAGTTCGTTTGAAATATCTGTCTGAAAGATCGGTCACCACAAAGATTGCCACATATTGCCACTATTGCACCAGTTGGAAAGGGCGAAATCAAAACGGCTCGGGCAGCACAGGCAGCTGGCACTTGCTGACAGGATCCATTCTTGAACTGGCCAACAGCAAGCAACAGCAGTCCTCACTTGACTCCCTAGAGCAGAATCGCAGCAAATACGATCGAGTGAGCATGAAGCAGACTATCGCAGCAGCCGGGGTCCCAAAAGCTCCCCCTTTCTAATTACGCAGAAGGCCGCGAAAGCAGAAGTCCGCTGTGCACCGCACCCCCGCGCCACTGCTGCAGACAAGATGAGCATGAGCCCAAGGCCTGACGAGCCGAGCAGCTCTAAGAATGCTCCACGGTTCATTGTGGGCAGAGTCCAGCTCGCTCAAGCTATTGATGTTCTATGACTAGCATGCACACCTATACTATATTCAGAGCAACCTTGGGCATCATCACCACCTGTCTTCCCAGAATAGCAAGATAGTAGGGTGATACGACTCGGATGGCTGCTCTTGTGTCACGTGTATCCTGCAATTGAAGACCGTCTGGTTGTACAGCCGTGCCACGTGACGCATGACCACATCGTCTGGTTGAAAGGAGTTCATGGTGTCTGAAAATGCGGCTCAGAACCATGCGGCAACACAAGTAGTTGTATGTTTCGCGTCATCGTGGCGTTGTCTATTCAATGCTTACTTGCGTTCGGTTCAGCCTAGGTTGCTGATGTGTATTGGGGAGAGACTAGCTGCCCCCTCACCCGCCAGTCTCCCATCCTTGCTGTACGAAGGGAGTGGAGAGCAGCAAGTCCTCAACGGCAGAAAGAGCAGAGAGTCAGTCGTCAACAGGGAGGGGAGAATCCCCCCCAAGCAATCTCATCACTCATCATCATCATCCTCCTCATCGTCATCATTATCATCATCACTCATCACCATCACCATCACTATCACCATCATCATCATCATCATCGTCGTCGTCTTCATCGTCATCACTCATCACTCATCACCATCACCGTCGTCATCACCATCAACACCGTCATCATCAGCATCATCAGCAGCATCATCATCATCATCAGCTCCACTCATCATCCCCATCATCACCATCATCATGATTACGAGCTTCATCCTCATCGGTGAAGGGCAATCGGAAATGCGGGAGGATTTTTCTGCGATAGATGCACATGGGGTGATAGGCTCTCAGGCGAACGGAATAAGGGTCTCTGATTAGAGGTTTCCACGAATATGGGAGTCGTTCACACGTCCCTGTGTCTTGGCGAGGAGTCTTGTCAGGAAAAGCATTTTGGGTCTGGCGTAGTCTCTCGACGACTATCACAAGCCCAGGGCAGCACCTCGGCGTCTGCCGCCGGCAGCAGCCGCACAACTACAAGGTGCCGCACTGACGCACGCTCTCGCAGCAGGGCTCCTATGTCAGACTGTAATCTGCCTACAGTGTCAGATCCAATCATTCTGAGGACTGCACGTGCAGCAGTCTCACGGTGCTGTGTGAAAGTGCGATGTCTGAAAATCTGAGCCTTTGTGAGCTATTAGGGCTGTTTCGTGGCACCGGACTCCTCCAGACGATAATTAGCTAGGCTAATTGCCTGGGCTTGGAGGGTGCACTCCGTATGAAGGCCGACAGGGTGTCTGAAAGCTTATGTAGGCAGCATGCCACTAGACTTCTGTGTGGCTGAAGAGCCTGGTGGTACCCACGAGAGATCTGGATTCGGAGAAGCTGGCGGGATGGGGTTGATGCTTGTTCTATGACGGCAACAAACGTCAGGGCGCCGTTAGGCTGTAGCAGCAGCCTCCCATTTTCTTTCATGTGTCAGCTTCGGCTTCGGCGGCGGCCGCGGCTTCTGTCCCTGGACGCATTCACAGCAAGCCTCCTCTTCTCAGGACCTACCAGTAGATCCAGATCGGGCCAGCCTCGAAGGACTCTTTCGACGCTTCGTGCGACCTTCGCGCGCGCATGAACCCTCTTGGGCATTTCTGTCCATTGGCTCAGCAGATCCAAGCCCCAAGGCTAATCTAGCCGAGGCTGTTCATCAGCTTGTACCTCCCAGTGCTGGCCTCTGCTGCGACTGCGGCTGCTGCTGCTGCTGCTGCGGCGTCGACTCCTGAAACGAATTCAGTGACTGCGAACCCGAACAAAACACCGGTAGATGCAAGCTTCTGAAAGCATTCGCGGATCGAAAGCCATGTCGTGCGCAGATCCTGCTTCTTTTGTCCAAGGCCCTGCGGAGAGTTTCCTCAGCAAGCGCTGGCAAGAGGCGCTGAATAGATAGTACTGAACGACAAGGTGTGTGAACGACAAGGTGTGGGGCATGTCCACTTGTTCTTGCATGGCAAAGGGCTTCCCAAGTGCAGGGGTTTTACTCCTGGTCCAGGCACTCACTGTCTGGTAACATCCAAGCTTCGCGTCCGGACTCCCAATGACCAATGCCTTGACCCCTGGGCAGCCATGGTGACGGAAAAGTTTAAGTTTCGGGTGCGCGCTGTCTCCAGTCAGTGATGGACTGCGATGCAACATGACACAGCAGTTTGCAGAAACAGTGTCATAACTGATGTGGGTGCGATGCAACATGAATCACAGTTGGCCCTCTGCCTTCTTATCTGGTCCAGCAATGTCTCGCGAGTTGCTGCCGGCAAGCTCCGTGGAGACCTGTACGCAGACTGCGGCCTCAAACCCTAAACCCTAACACTTAAGATGCAGAGAGAGAGAGAGAGAGACAGAAAGAGAGCGAGAGCTAGAGAGAGAGAGAGAGAGA